ACACCTATAATTGCTTTTCCTTCCTGTGCCATTTCCTATTCTCTTTGAAAGCACTGTAATAACCATGTAAAAAGTAATGATGGCTGCAAGTTAGCTGTATGTTTACTTTGTGTAGTATGCATGCCAGATTTGGACCCAAATTGTCTAGATGTCTAGAGAAATAAAGTCCTAGGCAAGGAATGAATCGAGCATGGCATATCTAAAATGTGCAGAGACACTCGTGTTAGCCTAGGCAATTTTGAAATTAGGAGGCAAAGAGAAAAGAATACCTCTTTTCTTCAGGAAAATCTTGTAGGATTTTTTTTGTTTGTTTTTTGTTCCTTTTAACAAGGTAATATATCAAATAAGGCTTTAACTGTTTGTATAACACATCCTTTACTTGCAAGGTATTCAACAGCTTCCTAGAATTTAAGATAATAGGATGCAAGATACACAGCCACAGGAGCACAGTATCCACAAATAGAGTGATTTTTGGATCCATATGTTAGACAGGAACTTACCTGGTTGTGCTACTGTGTAAATTGCAGTTAATGGCTAAAAGAACTAATTAAGTGTCCGTGAAGGGAATGTGTACTGTTTCAGAGGGCTATCTATGAATAATCTTAATACAGGTCTCTGTAACAGCAGAAAACTGTCACACAGGATTTATTCTTATCTCCTCCAAAATAGTCCATCCATTTTTTCCGTCTTCAGAAAGGACTTGAAATTAAGTGTGTTTAAAATGAAAGCTTTGCTTATTCTTTGCTCCTCTGTCTGTTATGACTGTCTTGTGTAGTAAGGCAGGCTATTGTGGCCTCTTTCTTTTTGTAATAACCGCAGGGACCAGTTCCATTTTGTGGCTACTTCAGAAGTATGTGACGTTGGACCTTTGCCACTGGAGGCGTACGTTCAGTATGGCCATTGACATTTGCCTGGATCTCTGGGTTGCAGCATCTGTACAACCTCCCTTTTAAAAGCAGAACATTTGTTTTTAAGTAAACTTTTACATTTCTTCAGTAAATTCGGTTTTTACCCAAGTCTTCATATTCAAATCATCTGCTTCTCTTTTGTACGTTAAACTTCATTATGGGATTTTCCTCCCCCTCAAAGAAGATGCTTTTGTGGTTAAAGTACGGTACTGGATTTCAGGAAATCAAGAGTTCAGTTTCTGGTTCAACCACAAATTTCCTGTGTGATTGCTTACTAACTCTGCCTTGGTTCCCCGCAGATGTAGTGATGGTGTTTTATAAATTTGCAGGTTAGCAGGGCCCATCTTGATCATTTAATCTGATACTCTGCATAACGGAAATGAAAAAAATTAATTGCTTGCAGAAATTACAGGGTTCGTTTCTGCTGTAACATCTTGGAAGGTTTAACCAGCCTTGACTTTGTTCAGGAATCCATTTCCCCTAGCGAAACGTTCTCACCATTAAGACTCTTCAGTGGTAATGGTGTTTGGGGGTTTTTTTTCCTTCTTATTTTGAGTTTTACCTAAAAGTTTGCTCTTTTTCCCAAAAGTAAAAGACTTGGTGAAGTAAAATTCTTAGACTAGCCAAGGCATTTCATAATAGTTTTCCTTGGCTAAATTAAAGAGGTCCCCTAGTCAGTCAACCTGAGCGTTCAGCATAGCTCATTCTTTGGGTTAAGGAGGCACTACATGGTTAGATTCACTGTGTGTGCATGGTTTGACTGTACTGTGCATGCAAAACAGGACCATACTTTCAGAGTACCTTTATTATAAGGGTTTATTCCTATTTGCTTCCAGAGTGAGTTGGCCAGGACCAGGTTTCTGCAGTTTAATGCGGTGGCATTTTCTTCTCTAGAAATAGTTTGGAAAACGCTGCTTTGAACAGGGCTTGAGGTGGTCACTTGTTGCCCTAAGGTTTTCCTGCATGCATGCATAGCATAGCGTGTGTGTCTTAAGCCAAAACCAGTTAATATGGTACAAACTTTTGCAAAAGGGTTTTCAGGGAAGCTGGCCAGTAGAAGCAGGCTGCTAACCACAAACTGAACACCCTTTCCGTGATGAGTTCTTTAGGCTTCTTACATTCATTCTGGATTTTTGTTCTGAACCCCTTTTCACTGTTCGGTTTTGGCAGTCATAGCTATATGCAAACAGTTTTGTCGATATAAAAGCACGATTACTGCTACCTCTTCTTTTTGCTTAATATTTTTCTCCAGCATATATATCCAAATGTTACACTTCCTTTTCAACAAGAACGTTCCACTGGGAGCTCGTGTTCAGCTGGAGTCAACACCCTCCCATGTCTGCTAATGGAAGGCTAATCTCAGCACTCCTTAGTCCTCTTTAGTCATACCTTAGTTTAAAACGCAGAAGAAACTGCACGTCTGTTAATCTTACTGACTTTGCTTTAAGCAGGTTAAGGACTACTTTTTGCAGCGCTGCCAACAAGAGGAAACATAAGGACAGTGTGTTATGACAAGACATAGTGGCAAGCACCGAGGCACAGAGTCCACGCTCTAGGCTCTGCAGCTAGCATGGGGGTTTTTGTTTGTGTTTTTTTTTTTTCTAAGTCGTTTTTCTGAGTTTTTACTTTAATGCAATTAGTAGTCTGCAATTTCTTGAAGCTTCATTTGATTGTGTTAAAATGGAAGTTGTTCAACTAAGTATGTTTCTAGGCAATTCATGTTGTTTTTCATGATTGATCTCTCACTGTCATTATTTATTGTTCCACTATGTTTTTGTAAACACAAAAGTTGTCTAAAATTGTATTTTCTTTCAAATCACTTAACTGCTTATGAAGCTATAGAACAACACAAGGTTGCAAACAGAGTGATCCCTTTGATACTCAACTGGAAATACCTGTTGAATTTAACAATTTGCTGTGTGTGGGCTGTTCTGATTTTCCTCATCTCCCCTTTGAAATTCTCATTTATCAAAATGATAAGCAAGACAAAGCCAGATGTCTTACAGAAGTCCCCTGTGTCACCACAGTTATTTTGTCAGCCCAAATAACGACCCCATTTAAAGAAGGTGTGGAGGCTGGGAACAGCCTATTTTCTCTGGAAGCGACTGGAGTGATGCTAATTATATACCTGTCTGTCATTTTCTTATATGCTAATGACCGCAGAGACCTCGCCAGCCAATTGTTTCTCAGTATTCCTGGGTAGCTAGTTATAACTTTCATTCTCTCACTTGGTTTCATTTTCTTAAGTAGCACTTATTTTCCAACTGTCGTATTATTTTATTTTTGGAACACAGTACTAGGCTGGTAACGTTCTGATGTCTAGTGATACTTCAAGGCATGTCTGCTTAGTTCTAATAATTGCTTATTCTGTTTCAAAAACCCTACCTTAGTTCATCATAAATTTCCATCAAAATGCAGCCCCATTTACACCTTAACTTAGCCTTGAAACTAGGTGCAGAAATGATGTGGTATTCTGCTCTTATTCCACCCTGCACTGATTTCTGTATCATTTCTCACAGTATGTACGTGCCTTCTAGGGGCATGTTAGGATAAGTGGTATAATTTTTTTTCCTCTGCATTTAGGAAAAGAATTACTTGTCTGTGCAGGATATTGGGTGGTTGCTAGAGATGGCAAAGTAAGGAGAAGAGTACCTTGCATCACAACGGAAGATGATAAAGCTTATAATAACAACCCTCAATTTCTCATAGTCTTAAGAAATAGAAGTGCAGAGGCTACGGAAGTTGTTACTCTGTTGTTGCTCCTTCTTTCTTCTTCCCAACAGAATCAACTTGATCTGAACTACTCTGACAATTGTTGCCATCGGGATTTAGTACACAGTACTCAGACAGACCTGTAAAAGTTCTCTCTCTTGCAAAGATAAAGTTTACTTACATGGTAAAAAAATTTAGATTCCAGTGGGGGGGTTGACCTGTTGATTTTAGCCCTGATTGTGATGCTTTTTTATCTTTTTTTTCTGTCCCAGACCACTGAAACTTTTAACAAAGAAGTCAAACTTTAATTTTGTGTGAGAAGACAATACAAAAAGCATATGAACATGTTTGGGATATTTAGGTAGCCTTGCTGCTGCAGAGTAGGAAGGAATTCCCAATGCAGCATTTTAAGATGAAAGGACTAGTAAAATCTTAAAAAGATGAGTTTAAGCGAGACACTCAGGATTCACCTGAAAAACTTAAGTATGCGTGTTTAAAGTTTTGGGATTTTTTTTTTTTTAATTCTCTAAATGTTATTTTCCTTTTATACCCCTCTGCCCTCCACCCACCCCCCCCCACCCCGTTCTTAAAAAACCCATCCTCTAGTTTTCCCCCCTTCTAGTTCCCCCTCCCCGCCCCAAGTTTCCTCTCCCCGCTTCTCTGTGTCACCTTTTGCATTAATCCAGGTCCTTGAATTCTGTAGAGAAACTATGTTTATTAGATAAGTTTAATAAAAATTCATCCCTTTTCAAGTTAGTATGATGAACTGAACTGCAGAATCTGCAACTTCATACCGTTGAGAGACCAGTAATTTGTTACTCATACCTGGGAATATTTTTCACTATAGTGCTTAGGAAACCACAAAAATTTTTGTTTGAATAGGTTGTCCCCTCTGTAGGCATATAGGCACTTTAGATATGAATAGGTATATATTAATATATATGATATAATGCATATACACAGTACATCTATATACCTACACACACCCAGAGGCACACGCATTGTCATATGTGTATCACTTTTAAGTAGCACTGGGCGATATGCTGCCAGGAAACTTTACATTGTTTCTGCTCTTCTAGATAAGGCTCTACATTACCAGTGGTACTGGCTGTGCCTAAATTTAAAGATAATGGGAAACGATAGTAGCGAGCTGCCACGTAAATAAATAGTTGAAAGTGAAAGGAGGAAGGTAGATTGAGCAAGCAGCTCATGAGAAAGTATTTATTTCCAAAATGCAGCGCAGTAAGAAGAAAACTAAACAGAGACCGAATCTTAGACGTTCACTCTGTACATTAAGTTTAATGGTTCTATCAACGGCTTCATATGACAGGAAATGATCTGGGCGTTTTGTTCACTTATTCTGGATGCCCTTAGTTTCAGAGAGCAACTGGTAACATGGATTGCACCTCGGAAGGGGACAGCTGAACTCTCCCTCTGGCTTTAGTGAGGAAAGAGCAGCGATGAAATCCGTGGACTGTGTGCACGTCATCCAACAGAAGGATACCGCCTCCTCTCCCTCTGCCCCCCCTGGTGCTGCTTCAGGCACCACGGGACTTTTTTCTGTCACATTCCTGTGGCTTGCAATGCTCCTGTCCTCTTGTCTTGCAGCAGTGTCTCTTTACCATGTTATCACCCTGAAAACAGAACTAGAAGCTCTGCGCAGCGAGCTGATCTACAGGGTCCAGGCAAGGTCTCTGCTAGACCGGCCACCCGTGTCGCCTGATGAAAATAAAGCGGGCACCCCTGTTTCTTCCTTCCTGCAAGTGTCTGCAACTGGCGCCAGGCAGGTAAGCTGGAGGGGTGGTGTTTGGCTTGCAGGGGATGAGCAAACGTGAGGCTGCTTTCACTGACCGTCGCTTCTCCCTGTTAGGAGAGCAGGCTTCCCGGTCCTGGCCCACCTGAAAGCTTCCAAAAGGAAATCTGGAACGGGAGCAGGAACAGGGGGAGGAGGTCTGTTGTCCACACAGAAGAAACAGGTAAATAGCAGCCGGTGGAGCGGGTTGGGATGCCACAGTTGGATACTGTCTTGAGAAAAGCAGCAGTGCTCGACTCTTATCTTCTCCTGTCAGCCAATCCGTGCACCCAGACCCCGTCAAGGTTTTTACAATTATTGCTGAATGAGTGGTGTTAACTGTAGGTACATTCTCTTAGTGGTTACCATACCGTTTAAGGTACCAGATACTCATGCTATCTGCAGGTTAAACTTTGAACGTTAGATCCCAAATCTGCCTCTCGTAACAGAGGTATTTCTCGATGATGCGGTGGAGTTGAGTAAGGCAACTTTAAATTCTTCAGATTGTAAATTGCTCAATTCTAAATCCATCATTCTCAGTTCAGGGTAATGCCTAACTTGTTTCTCTCTGATCAATATTAGGAAAGGAAAGCTATTACTAAAAATGCCAAGTCATTTTTCTGGGAAAACATGCTCATCCTAAAAGAGAGAAGTAACAAGAAAGCTCCTTAACTTTAGGGAAGTAGGAGCTTTCAAAGAGAAAGGCTGGCTTGTACCTGTCAAAAGAGGCAGACTACAAGGAATTCAGAAGTTTAGAATCTTTTCTGCATTCAAACAATCTATTAATACAATTAGCAAAATTAATAAAGGCGTGCCTATCCAATAAGAATTTTTTATCATGGCCTTTTTAAAAGGTGCTGCAGAGAACACTGAAGACTGTGCTCCATGAAAGACATCTGATGTGTATTATAATGTTGGAATACTAATGGGATATATTTGTTTCCTTTGGGGATAAAATGCCTACATTTTCCTCGTCTTCTCTTTCCTAAGACAGTGATGGCTGATAGGATGAAATACAGACTTTTAGTATAACAATTTGCATACATACTCTAATTGCCGAGTAACTAAAAATGTTCCTGAGTTGCTAAATCAGTTCAATCCTCTTACTTTGAGGATTGAAACAATACTTTGAGATTGTTTTAACTGATGAAAGCTGATATCTTAAATTATTAATAGATGAAGTTAAAATGGAGTAATTTGTAGGTAAAGACTAAATCAGACTTTGCTTAAAATGTGCTTTTGATTGACTAATTAATGTGAAATGTGTTTCACTTAAGCTTCAGCAAACTAAATGAAATTTAAGTTCTAGAGTATAATCACTCTGCTTACCTCCAAGTCGCTCAAAAGAGAACATTCATTTAGGACATCACCCAAAATCCATAGGTTTAAATGGGATTTATTTTATTCCATTACTAATCTTTGGTTCAGGGTCTTAGCTAAGAGTGATTTCACGAACAGGACTGAGGACAAGATTGCTTAAATTGTGTATCTTGTAGCCTGTTTCCTATCACGGGAGCCACAGAGCTGCCCTGCTCTCCCCACCCTAGCATCTCCCAAATAAAAGCTAGTCATCTTTTATATCTAAAGCACAAGTATCTTCAAAAATAAGGAGGCATGTCTTTTTTTAAATGAATGTTATAGCATCAGTACTCTGCAAGTTACGCAGTTCCCTTTGCAGTAGCTTTCATCTTTTTCTTACTGCTATTTGAGGGTGTATGGGGGAGAGGAGGGTTTTGGGCTCCTCAGCTGTGCTTCTGGCAGACTTAAGATTCTTCTCATCAGGTAGCCACCTCTGATTATACCTATTTATCTTTCTTCACATAAAATTCTAATTAAGCTACTTATTTCTGTAAGCTTTTTTTATTTTATTTTAAAGATACAGCTGGCTTTAAAATTGTTTAGGATGGATAACAGAAAGCACAGAATATGAACATTCATCTAAAAGGGAAAAGCTACATAGGTTGACCTACTACAAAACTGTTTTCTAACATGACCATCGTGTTTTTGTATATAAAAAAGAAAAAAAGTAAATTATAAATCTATAAATTATATAAAAGGTCATCTGTTGGACAGGGTTACCTTTCTGCCTGCTCTAATTACAACAAATTAAACTTGTCAGAGTTCAGAAAGATGTTACATTTTCTCAGATCAGACTTCACTGATGACCATGAACCTACTAGTCAACGTTTTGTTTTAGCGGAGTGAGTGAAATAAGAGAACACGGTGTTGTTCGTGGTGCTGAATCCTGTCTGCTACTTGGTCATGTACACACAATTACTAGCCCAGCGTTTTGATCTTCTCGCGTCCATTTCTGAGTACTGGAATCCCAACAGCCTCCAAATCATCCCGCAGGTGCACTGCACTCATTGTGGTACGATGGCAGAAAAATTAGGGTATTGAGTGAGGTGCCTTGTTCTTGTCCTATTTCTGTTTGCTTCAATGAGGACTCAAAGTGGAGTCTGGTCTCATAATTGTTGACCCATAATTTCAGTTTAACATGGACCAATTCCTTAGAAAGTGAATACTTGAAAATGTCACTGATATACCATTGCTTCTCATCATAGAGCCATTATTTTGTTTATAAATAAAGTTATGGTTTGATCCTGTTTTCTTTTTAAACTTCAATTATTAATTTCCAGAAATGGATGCCCCATGATCCTTTTTAGGTCTGGCACAGCCCGTCTTGAACATATGGAATTTTCATTTTAATTTTTTTTTTCCTGTTTTCTTGATGTTGTGTGCATAAAAGTGGCCACACATTAGAATTTTAATTTAAATGACAATTGAATGAAAATAGATCTAACACAATGTTGTTTTTTCATATTTTTATGGGGTCTGCATTTGTCTGTGTTCGTGCATAAAACTATTAGTCAACAGTAGTTGTATATACATTTTGTCTTGAGAAAATTTCCAGCTCAAGTAGGTTGAAAAGATGGGTTTCAAGCATCAATTCCAAATACAGCTGCACAGTTAGCAGTCAGAACCAGAGTTCTTGGTACAATGAGTAGGAGTAATGGGTGATTTTAAAAGGTATATATTATTAATCTGAAGGCAGATAGATCATCTAACCACTTCTGGCAAGTGTCGTATCAGAACACATAAGAGCAGATATAATTTTTCTTATTTGTCTTTCTTTTTACAAATTTTGCCTGTAGAGGAAAATTGCTACACAACAAAAACCTCTCCTGAATTTTATACCCTGGTCACAATTATTGATTGCCTTGCCTGCATGTTTCTCTCTAAGATGCATGTGCACTTGAGTCCAGGAACAAGATATATGTTCCATTACCTAAGCCAGTTCAACGTACGAATGTCAAGTTTCATTTACACGCTCTCTCTGTGCCTCGTTCTGATCATTATTGTGGGATTCTGATTCCTGTGGCCAACTAGGGAGGTGAGCATCAGGCCTTCTGGAAACTCAAATTCAGGCAACGTTCTGCTGTGATCAGATTGGAGCACCTATGGACTGTATTTACTTTCGTGTATTGAGGTTATCCATATCAACCAGTCTGACTGCGTGTATGGAAGGAACTGAGGAGAAATTTGAAGTAATTCCACAAAGCAGTGAAATAGGCTAACCTGGCATGTGACTTGGCTTTTTTTTTTTTACTAGCGGTTCCCAGGTTCTACCCCAATATCAGTTGTGTCCACGGGAAATAACTATTGGCATGCAAGCGTGGCATGTAAGTTGTAAGAATTTTGCCACTGTTCTTGGTATAATTGCCTTGCTGGCAAATTGGTACATTTGTTGGTTAGAAGTGTTTTGACTCTGTATGTTGTTGGTTTAGATCTCTGTGACAGAGGGATAGCAAGAACTTTTGCAAATGGAACTTGACTTTAGTGATCTTTGAATCAAGAAACCTAACCTTTTGTTACTAGTCTAAACAAATGCCACATATAAAATTCCCTCGCCAAATGTTCAAAATACTTCTTATTTTATTATTTGAAGAGGGGAAATATAAGAGTTCTCTTAATAGAAAAAAAAAGAAAGGCCTACTTCTTGAAAAGATGTTATCCTTTTTTGTTTCTGCTGACAACGGGCTAACTCAAAAGGAAGTAGGCCCTTCTATGCGAAAGGATAGAAAATTACTTGATACAATGCTTGCAATTTTACATGAAGAATTCCACTTACTGAATGAATGAGTCAGTGTTGCGTATTATGCAGAACACTCTGCAATCAAAAATACACAGAATAGGCTCTAATTTTTAAAAACAATATTCTGCTTTATACTGTATAATAGAAGTCTACATAAAGTATTCTTAATTCTTAGTAAATGAATTCCGTGTTATTCTGATTGTAACATGTTACTGGTAATTCTGTTAAGGTCAAAATAATGCTACGAATACCTCGAAGATATTTCTTAGATCTGAGTCATATCTGTAACTATGACCAAGCCCTTTATAACGCAGGGACTGATTTAGTCCATGATTAAGGCCATATAAAGACTTCTTAATTAAAAAGCACCAAATCAACCAGTCTATAAAAATGCACAAGCAAAAAGTAAAAAAAGATCTCTTGTGATGAGAAATGAAAAAGTTAAGGGAAGAAGAACTGCAGATTTTTCAAGAACATGCATATCATTTATAAACTGAATTATCTAGTGTTTAAGTATGTTTCAGGAAGTCTACAGAGAACAGATCTAGACCAAAGAAGGAACCTAAACAAGCAGGTCTGTTTTTTAAAGTTCAGGTTTTTTGCTTGGTTTTTTTTCAGCAAAACTTGAGATAGATGACTCAGACCTCAGATCTTGAAACTCAAAAATTTATGCATGAGTTCACAGATAACAAACTTGAAATTTTGTTTGGATGGATTATGAAGTTATATTGCAAAATATTAAAATGATTATGCAAGTTATATAATACAAAAACTTGCATGGGAGGACAAATTTGATTTTACCAATACCAGGTCTTAAATCATACAGATACGCAGAAGGCTGCATTCCTATCCCGCTGCAAAAGCTAGCTTTTTTTTTTAAATTGTGGTTATATTGCTCAACCGGTGGGGAACACATCCCTTCATGTGCTGGCTGTGGTTTATAAAGGCATCTGGAGTCACTAACTTCTTCAGAATTGGCTGTTCTGTTAATGGAAGAAGAAAGATTCTAAAACGTTCTTCTCCCCACCCACACCCCGCAGAGCGGTTAAAATCAGAAAAAAAAAAAATGCTCGTCAAAGCAAAGTTATTATATGAAGTCACAAGAGAACGGGGCACACTGTTGTTCTAGATACACTCTGTTTTATACAGCTAGACCTCATGGTGACACTCAGTCTAGATATTTTTACGTATTTTTAAGATGTATTTTATGAATCCTGTATTCTGCTTGCATTATTAATTATTCAAAAATAGTTTAGACTACAAACCTGATGCTCAGGTTTGATTTACACTGGGCTGAAGGGCATTCAGGTAGACCTTTTGATTTATTCTGGTCAGTACTGATAGTAACTATTCAACCCATATTTTGTAATGCATATATTCTTGATATTGTACTTCAGGTAAGATTTGGGTCCTTCTTGGAATAGAATTGCTAACATTTCTTAACAGTGTTAACTTTTTACTGAAAATCCCTGTTAATTTACCCAGAAAATATACTCTGTATATCCACATCTTCTCCTTAATAGTAGTGTTGTTTACTCTGAATTTGTTTCAATGAATTACTTAACTTTAAGCATGAATGTAGTTCCGCTGTTGTCGAAGTGAAGTGCTTATATATACTGGAAATAGTTATGTGTCAGTCTGAACATTTTTTGGAAGCACGTTGTTGTTCAATCCCTCAAATATTTTTAGATATTATTTGTCCTTTGGGCCTTTAGGTAAAACGGCCACTGCGCTGATTTCTGTTCTCTTTATTGTCATGAATGACACGGCTGTATCCATATTTCTCTGTGAAAAGAAAGCTTACTATATTCTGTGGAACCTTATTTCTATCTGCATACACTAAAAAAAGAGACAGTGAGATTTTTTTAGAGAATATATGTAGATTTGATATCTGTAGAATAAAGGAGAGTTGGTATGTGTTTTAAAAAGATAGAAAAGATCTGAGACTGTACTGAACTTGCTGATTTTAATTACTGTGTAGCAGTTCTCAGCAATGATGACTAGCATTTCAATGCTGCAAACAACTGAAACGTAAATCCAGACTTGCAGACTGTGAATCAGGATAGTTTCAAGAATGTCAATCGAGCAGGTTTAAAAAGAGTTGCCAAAGTAGCCATAACTTCCACTGCTTGTGGACACTACTTGTTGGTACCTAGCTGGATAACAGCTGGCTAGCGTGAATCATAACAAATCCTCTCGTTTGGTTAGTGGAAAATCCAGTGGCCACACTAGTGACTTCTTTTAAAATCAGGAATGAGAATTTTGATTTAGCTCACTGAAATATTAGGGAATCAGCAAATTCCATTCACTAGGAAGGCCCTTTGCTCCAAAGGAGAGTGAATGAATATCTTGTGAAATAAATTGCCTGATGTGCTTTGTTGTGCGACTCCAAAAAATCATGTTTTGATTTTATTTGGAAGCTGCTTTTTCAGAAAATTCTGTCGCTCGTTACCGTGATAGAAAGATGACTGAATTCAATTTTATGTTGGCTTGGTTTTTCTATTCCTTATCAGAAAGCAGGGAATTCAGATGCCTTTAAATTCTTGTTTGAAAATCTATAGATTTTGGCACATTATTGATGAGTATTGATAGAACTCAAGGACACGCTCCAGGGTAGGAGATGAGAGCTTGCAGGATAGCATTCCCATTAACGTAAGCAGGGCTCACAGGTTGCGTGATCGTTGTGACATTGGAGCATTCCCAGACGTGTGCTTGAATCTTTGACCGCTGCCAGTTGGCAACGCTGAGTGCTGGTGAGCATCCAGCTCCCTTCTGGTATTTTCAGGCAGTCCCCTTGGAAAGGAGACTTAGATACAGAGAGAGGCTGTTTTCTACTCAAATCCTCTCACTACCGGCCGTGCAGCGAGAGGTTTGTGCTGCTGGGCACTTGGTTGCACACGTGGGTACTGCTGGCAGATGTAGAAACAGGATCCTATGGAGTAGCGCACTGCCTGTTATAGCAAGAGTGGCCAAATCTGACCCACAGCCTTCTTACCTGAAAAGAGGTAAACAAAAATGGAGATTCAGCAATCCACAGCAGAATTTTCTTCTCTTGACTCTTAGTAAATTCATTTGGTTTCTGTCAAGTGCAGTAAATATTACTGCTCTGTTTTCCAACCTTCAAAGTAGCACTAGAACCAGATGTTTTCATTAAAATCTGCTCTAAGCAAATGCAACTATCCTTTTTTTCTTTCATCCTGTTCCCTGACATTTACGCGTAGCAGATTTTTTACAAAGATCTTTGTTTCACTTGCCAGCCTATATTTCAACATACCGCAATATTTTTCTCTGATCAAGCTCCTGGTTTCTCATTAGCGTTGCCAGTCTCTACAGTTTTGAGTAACACCTCAGTTTTGACAGTCACTAAGCTATTTGTTATGTGTGCATTAATTTGCTAACAGTCATCTCTGTATCTTCCCTCTTAGTCTCAGAACGGGTTGATTGAGTGTGGGTATCTGAAAACATATTGAAAGTACATGTATATGGATTTTGAGAATTTATTTTGAAAGTACCATGTAACTAGTATGTATGACTAATATTTTACAGCAACTATGACTGGAAACTAATTTATTTAAAGAATATAGTAAGCATCATTAGAAAATCTGATATCTGTGATAGCTGGCAGGGTTAGAGGGGGTTTTTGAGCTTTTGCCTAGAAAATTAACAAGGCTAATTGATCTCATGATTCCTAGCTCGTTTGACTTACTGCTAGATTTTTCGATTATATTAGGATGAGAGATTAAAACAAGCAAGGATTACTTGTGCTACTCTGAGGCCTCCTGCTTAGCTGCATGATCGCTGAAAGTTACCTAGTACGTGTTGCCGTATGAATTTTGTTTTGGCATGTTTGAGTAAGATCTGCGTTAAAATCAATAGGTTATGTTTTCAAATAAGTGGTGAGACCAAGAGAAGATTTTTTTTCATGTCTGTCTTTTTTTTTAAAGTAGTTTCAAAAGCTTACTGTATTCTATTACTGATTTATATTTCTTTGATTTCAAAATTATTTCACTTTGCAGTGCTGCAGGCCTGCTTGCAACTGATCGCTGACAGCAAAAGTGATATCCAACAGAAAGGTAAGAATATGTTCCATGATTTATAGCTAACTATTCCATGTATTAACTCTTCCATCCTATTTTATCTAACTTCAAAGCAGTAACTGAGTTATGTCACCGAATTAAAAAAAAAAAAAAAAGTCCCTGCATCTGGGCAGCTCTTGCAAATAGCCTCTTTTCAGTGGGGAGATCCAGCTAGTGAGACTGGAAGTCTTGACTAGAAGTCAGCTTTGTTAATTTTTTGCAGATGAAAATGAAGAAAGTAACTTTTCTTTCTGATTACCCCAAAATTATTGTTTCTTTTAGATGATTCAAGCATTGTCCCTTGGCTTCTGAGCTTTAAACGTGGAACAGCTCTAGAAGAACAAGGAAATAAAATAGTGATCAAAGAAACAGGATATTTTTTCATATATGGCCAGGTGAGAAAGCTCAATTCGCTTCAGCATCTGACTTTTTTAAGGATTTTTAATGTCTCCATACAATATGTTTGAAGTCTGTACCTCTTCATTCTGTAGGTTTTATATACGGATACAACGTTTGCTATGGGACACTTAATACAGAGGAAGAAGGCCCATGTGTTTGGTGATGATCTCAGCTTGGTGACATTGTTTCGTTGCATCCAAAATATGCCACAGTCTTATCCGAATAATTCTTGCTATACTGCTGGTAAACATCTAAGTTTTCCTTTTCTTTGTTTGCAAATAAACTGTAGTGTTGGGTGATTAAGTATTGTGGCAGTTGTAAAGAAAATGGACGGCATTCATGGATCTGGTTAATTGCAAAACTACAGAATACTTTCAAAAAATACGGTTTTATATAAAGTACCGGCAGTTGGAGGTTATGCATCTAACTTAGGTGATCTGAACAATTCCCCTCCCTCTATTGACTAGATAATGTGGTTAGATACTTTGGTGCTTTCAGTTAGATACCTGAAGTAGACAAAAGGAGTACATACTGTCCTTACTGAAGAACTCGGTTTAACTTAGGGGTTGAGTTTCACATTTAGTTATCCCAATAAAATACTTAGGAGCTATGTTCTGCTTTAAAACATCATATATGAATTTTAGCCACCCAATTTTTGCATACCTTACTGTGGGATTTCCAAAGATATTTCTTATCAGCTTAATTCTCTACACCTTATAATGGCTACTGCAGTTTTACTACTTGGTTAGATGAAAAATAGGTAATTCCTATAAGGAGCTCTTTCTGACTGCATAAATTAGAAACACCACAAGAAAGACCAATTAAAATATTTAATGCAAGTCCAGCAGGCTCAATGCTCAATATATATGTGTATTCCTGCAGTAGCCTTTAAGGAATTGTCAAGGCCTATTAAACCTTGTTCAGTAGCTCTTACCTGTCTGTCTTTCCCCCTTAATGGTGGATTTGAGGGTTTTCTCTTTTGTTATTTGCCAGCAAGATCTGTGTGAATAAAATATTTTTTTCCAATGCCTTATAAAAAAGTGGGTGACGTTGGGTGGTGGAGTTGACTGTTGGCAAGTAATGGCATTAAACAAATGGGATGGGGAAGGAAGCTAATTTTTTTTTCCAAATAGAAATAAATTAGCTACTTCCTCCTGGCAGTTGAGGCTGTCCAAACATTTTCTTTAACTTTCTGCCCTTCCACCCACACATTCTGGCATCATAACCACCTTCAGTTTTATCTGTCCTCTTATTTCACCCTTGTATTACTCACCCCCTTTCTTAACTAGGATATCTACTTCATCCTGCCACTCCACGGTTCCTGCTTCCCAAATTCCCACCCTTTTGCTTTGACCTGGAAAACCAAATCTCACTGCAGTCTCTCATGCTGCTGAGCATGTGTCGCAGCAGATGTTAGATGTGCTCTCAGCTCCGTGACTGCAACTTGAAGGCAAGTTCGGTTATCACGTCAGCTGATGTGTGGCTGGCAGGAAGCAGACTTTTGTGCTCTGCAGTTGCAGTGGATCAGCTGATGTCTGGTAACTTCATTTGGTTGGTAAAGCTCATGAGACCTCCTCCAGAAGTGTGGGAAGGGAGTGTTCTAGGACCAGCAATACCCAATGCTGACCTTGACTGTCACATCACCATAACATGAGGAATCTGGGTACACCACTGTTACGAATTTTTGCAGCGTTTGCTTAAGTGAACTGATATGCTGAGTGCAGAGTGGAAAGTAGGTCCAGCTCCACAGAGGCTGTTAAGTGTCAGCTTTGGGTAGGCTGCAATTTGTAAGATTGTGCCTAAAGATACAAAAGCACTCGTCACAATTAACAAGCCATGCTTACGTTTGTAAGGTGATGTGTAATGACTTTTTGAATACCGATTATGAAAATACTATATCTGAAATATTAACTTAAAAATATTCCAAATCTTTTGCCAGGCATTGCAAAATTAGAAGAAGGGGATGAACTTCAACTTACAATACCACGGAGAAGGGCCAAAATATCCTTGGATGGAGATGGTACTTTTTTTGGTGCAGTTAGACTCCTCTGAAGCCCTTTGTTTCTGTTATTATGCTTAATGCAGTTTTCTTCTTTTACTATGCCTTTGTCAGAAAAAATATTGAATTGTAATAAAGCTGCCAATTCAGTCTCTCCCCATTCACCACCAGCTTCTGAGAATTTTTCTTCAGTTTAATAAGCGAACCCAAAACAGGAAACACACCAGATATACTTGTGAGATATCACCATCGTGTGACTACCAGAAAGCCAATTTATTTTAGACAATGGGAGACTCTAAATAACAACTATAAACCAGTGGTTCTTTGGCTTTGAAACAATTTCTTGTCCATAAGGCAAATCAAAGAAGGAGTTGTCCATAAAGTATAGCATAAACAGGACCATTGACTATCAAATTATTATCCATAATTGAAAACGAAAACTAAAACACAAGTACCTCTTAGATTTGCTTTGTTTCATCAATAAAATATTTGAAGTATAAAGTATGAGGAATAAACATAAAACAATAGATTCCTCATCAGAAAACGGAGGTGTCAGGTGGGTTCTGGGTTTCTTTTTGTTTTTTCTTTGACACCAAGGTTTTGGGGAAGGAAAAAGTCTAAATGTGTGGGATAATGAAAAGTCTAAATGTATCCGATAATGAAAACAAACTCCTCAGAAATATATAGAGTAGTAGCCACTGGCTTGCTTCTTCCCTGTGAACAAAAGGTGTATAAATTACTAAAATCTATTAGTATTTCCTACTTATAGTCAATTTTACTGGAAAAAGGACATGTAAGATGCTTCAACAGCTCAGTCTTTAAAGCACTGCTACTCATCAAGGAATATATGTATACTTCTATGTAAGCAAGGCAGGGATAGAAAGAAACACGGTGAGATTAGACACAATACAGTAGGTGGAATTGGATTTCTGGTTTCATAATTTCTGCAGTCATATATAGATGTTGTGTATATATATATAGTATATATATGTATATGTATATATATGAAAGTATGTACACACACATATATAAGCCTCCAACATTTGGGCATAGAATTTTATCTTTTTTTGAATAGTTTATCCAATGGAAATATTACTGCATACATATTTTTTTGTATTTCTCTTGCTTTTTGCTATCATCCATTCTATGCAATATAGTAACAAGAAAAATCCAATAAACCTGGAACCAGCCATGCAGCTAAGAAAATACATTTATATTCCAGAAATCTGGGCTCAATCCTGAGGTTAACTATAGGCTTTTTCTGCAGTTTTGAATATATTGCTCAACTCTGGTTTACAAAAAAAATCAGACCTGTAGAAAGACTAAACAGATATCTTTTTTTTCTTTTCTTTTGTCTGTCTGCTTTGTTCAGTAGATAAGATTTATGTCTTTTTTACCCCAAGAATCCATGTGTATTGCGTGGTCAAGGTAATAGCATGGTAATAGTGTGGTCAAGACTTCTAGGAGCTATGGTAATACAAACATTGAATACTTCTTCCACTGATCTTCAAAGAAGTATTGAAGTGCTACTGGAATAGATAAAATAACAAAACCCACCGTAATGAACTGTACTTCATTTGAAAATATTTTTTAGGGGTTGAGAATTGTGTCATATAAGCTCATTTAGTAAAGAAAGACGCTTTGTATACTGCAGTCTCCTCGTCTGTTTTTATAAGTCATGCTGATTTGATTGCGTTCTCATGGTGATAGACAATAAATAATAGAGAATTGGAGCTAGGAATTACAGACTGTGGTAAACTAATGAAACAATTAATTCAACTTCTCTGGGCTTCAAGAAGACATTTCAGCAATAAGCATATGTGTATTGGATTACTTCACTGGGATTTTTATGAGGCTTAACTACAGTTTCAAAATGTCTGGAAGTCCTCCTTATACAAATGGATTTATTTATGTGTCCTGGAGCTGAAGCTGCTGCTTCTTATTATTATTATTTAACTTTGATGTGCGAAGTTTGCCAAAAAGGCATTTTAAATCCTCTACAGGAACCCTCAGTTCAGCCAAAGGTTGTGTGAAGCTGCGTATAGATAAAACAATTATTAGCATGCAGTGAGTTGTCTGTTATTACTGACACATTTTAAAGGGATGACCAGAATCTCTAATCAGAAGATTGTTGATTTCAGCATTGTCTGATTATAGAAAAAAATGTTGTTACTGTTGCTTTCCCAGAGACTGGATGGCTAAAACTTGCAAATTTAACTTTTGGGATGTAAGTTTCCCCAGTGGTTTCAGTGGGTTTGCGTGTGCTTAGCTTAAGTCAATTCTGAAGGTGCTTGGCACCTTAGAAGGTGTAGTTTTGATATAAACAGACACAGCGTAATATTTTAAACACACAGCACATAGCAAAAATTCTGTGAAGCTAAGTCGGTTGTCATCACTGCCCCTTTTCCTCACCATATTTCTGCTGCTGCTGGCGAATATGGACAGTGCAGAACTTCGGAAAGTGTTTGGGGTATGGTGTGGCTTGGAGGAAGACTTTTCTCTTCTGAGCGAAAAGGCTTCAAAAGTGTTCCCTTCCTTTAGTAGGATGAAACTGAACCTCAAGTTTCTTCACAAAAAATGTGAACCATGAGAACTCCCAGATGTGTGCAGAGAGTGCAAGTCGACAGACTGTTCAGATATTTCTACTGACAAAGCTGGCAATTTTGTTGTTGTTGGGTTAGTTTTCTGCTGGCTTCATGAGAAAATTTGTCTTCTCAGAATTAATCTGCTTCTGCACAAAGTTGAGTTTCAACAGATCAGCATTTTCTGGTCAAAGCGGGAAGAAAAGGAGAATACCTCATTCCTGATGGTTCTGCTAACAAACTGGTGATACATGAGGTAGCAAAGTGCATCCAGACCACAATCACGCTTATGTTTCAGTTAGTGGGCATTACTGAAACTTTCTGCATTTGATAGATGTTATTTAAATAAGTGTGATAGGTAATAAGTAGTATCTAGTTGGTTCATACCATATTTTACGTTCTTATTAAGGACATCTAGCATTTAAGATAGGTTTCTGCAAATGCAACAAACTATGCGAATACTCTGGTTCTTTTTCATGTGGTGTTAAGCAGCAGCATGGCAAACACAAGGGACCTGAACATTTTCTTTCCAGTACATTTTCACAGAAAGTGTGAGCTTGTGTCATTCTTTCCTTTTTAATAACGTGCAGTTGGCAGATATATAGCTGCTTTGAAACATGTAATTTGTGTCTTAAAAATGAAAAAAATGTCTATTATATAATGTGCAGTCACACACCCCACCGACACACAGAATATACTCATTACGTGGCTCTCCCGCCTCTGACTGTTTCTCAAATTGCTTAGCATTTGCCATTGTAAGACCTTAATTTCAGTTGTCCCATGGTTTTGCCAAGCTTACACCGCTGGAGTTGAGATCTTCTGTATCTCTGGTTTATGTCTTAGGTTGAATTGTCTTGGATAACTTCAGCCCCCAAAGTTCTAATCTTCTAAAGATGAGGGTAGGAAAAATGTGTTGTTTGGATGTTATTTTGATGATTTGGCTGCTTTTTCTTTGGAAAGGTCTAGAGACTCTATGTGTTGAAAGAATGAATGTGTGTACTGTGGGTTTTGCTTTGTTTTAATCAGGGTTTTCTTTCTTTCTTCCTTCCTTTCTTGTGCACTCATGCTTTGACAAGGTGTATGCTTTTGAAGAATATTTTATGCTTTCTCATGTTAAGCATATTCTATCTCTACGGAACTTTCAAAAGGGAGAGGAAAATGTTCCCAGCAGTTTTGTCTCTTGGCTGAGTACATGGATTACCACCATCAGTGAGATCTAAGGTTGTTTTTCAAGGTCAGTCCAAGCAGCAGTGAGAAGGAAGTTGATGCAAATGCAGGGAAGAGGGAAGCTAAGTATTTGATGTAGAAAGGATCTCATGGAGTTTGCAGGTTACAGAGAGCTTAGGGGTGATGGGGGAAACAAACCACATTTATAGCTGGACTGCAGAAGTTGGAGAGACCCTAACTAGGATTTGATTGCTTGTGAGGTGGGGAGAAATGCAAGGGCATGAAATGGACTGGTTGTGAAAAGCCTGGGAACTAAGTGAGGTTAGGCAAAGACAGCAGCTTTGTGGGAAAGGGCCAAGGGTTCCTGGGGGAAAGCAAGGTAAACACAAGTCCACAGTGAGCCCTGTCAGAGTTGAAGGCTAACAGCAATCTGCTCTGTATTAACAGGAGTGTCACCAATAGATTAAGGGAAGGGGTTATTCCCCCTTTGTTGGCAACTTTCAGAGTGTATTTGGAATCCTGCATCCCGGTTTGGACACACTACATCCCAAATACAAGGACAGTGAGAAACTTGAGGGAGTCCATTTGTAATGCACGGAGGTGGTTGGGGTGGAACACACACTTGTCCTACGAGGACAGGCTGAGAGAAATGGGTTTTTCCAGCCTGAAGAAGAGGCTCGGGGGCTCCTAATAGCAACCTTCTAATACCGGTTAGGAGGTTGTCAAGAAAACAGAATCATACCCTTTGAGAGGTCCATGGTGGTGTGAGATGAAACAATGGGCACAAATCAAACTGGGAAGTTCGTACTTGACATAAGGAAAAAAATTATTACCATGGTGTCACGGTCCATTTGAATCTCTCAGATTTACAGGTCAACATACTCTGTAAATTAAACTTAATTTTATGAGCTCATTAGGAAAGAAAACAAACATGACAAACAAGGGTTCGATCCCCTTTGTACTGACTAGCCTAGCACATGAATTCACTAATTCATCACTTAAGTCATGAAGTTTCTAACTCACAAGCTCTCTTAATTCATAACTTGCAATTCATAACTTGTAATTCGTGCACCTATGGGCAAAAGAGTTACCTAGCCAACGGGGAGAGTACTCATTCTTCCTCCTCCGTCATGGTGCAGGCGTCCCCTGTATCACACTGGAAGCATGAAAGCCTCAGCAGTCCAGCTGCTGTAGAATCTACTTTGAAAATTTTTTGGGTAGGCGGACGTATTTATACCTTCCAGCTTGGAAGTTTGGTCTACACCATTTCCATGATTTAGCAGATTATGAAGAAACTGTCGGACAATCAATACACAAGGATGATGGCTGCAGGAGACAGCAAGCTGCAGGTGATAATGGCTGCATAATGACCTTTAGTCCTTTCTGGCCACCATATTCTGCCTGTGTGTTGCCTTCACGTTGACCTAATGGCGCTGATCCCAGCATACATCAGGACTTAGCATGAGCTGTGTGTTAGCCAAAAATCTGAGCAGGAACTGAGTGAAGAGTCACACCATGGGGACAGTCAACCACGGAAGCAGGTTGCCCAGAGGGGCTGTGAAAAATCTGTTCCTGCAGATTTCCAACACCTTAATGGATAAAGCCCTGAGCAACTTGGTCTGAATTCAGCGTTGATCCGGCTTTGAGCAGGCTGGAGTACAGACTTCCCAAATGATCCCTTTCCCCTGGCTGATTCTATGGTAAGAAACCAGGAGGTGTCAGGGGCAGAGAAACGACTGGTGGGAAGAAGTCAGA